AGTACGGTAGTTGTCAACACAAACCATACAAACTGTGAATCCTACAGTATCAAGAATTTACTCATTTATTTAATGACAATCATGTCATCATCTTCTGGAACATCATCATAACAATCCAATTCCTGAATTTCCTGGTGAATTTCTTGTGACTCAATTTCTTTCAGAATCAGTGGACCAAATCTCTCATGTTTAGCCTGGGGGGGCCTTATTTTCAGAGGATGCCTTATATTTCACTCAGAAGGAAACCTGTAAGTAGGTCTTATTTTGGGAGGATGTCTTATTTTCGGGGAAACACGGTACCTATCTATATCGATCTATCTACATTCTACATCTAGCTATATCTATCTACTTACATCTATCTATCTATCTATCTATCTATCTATCTATCTATCTATCTATCTATCTATCATCTATCTATCTATCACAATTAACCAGGAAATTATAGCTTATGCTTTCATCCGAAGGAGAAATATTTGTTAAGATTTTAAAAATATGATCCAAATATAACCATTTGAAGAGAAGCAGGACATGCAATTTCTGTATTTCATTTCATTTATTTACACTTTTCTCTCATTTGTACTGGCGGGACAGAAACGTAAGCTGTAGAGGAGAAGCCCATCAGGCTGTGTCCCGACAACTGGTGAGAAAAGAAAGATGAAATCACTGTGATCAGCCCAGAGCAGGCTGGTAGGTCACCATAACAGGCCAGCTCGCCTCCATCAGGCCGGCTGAGCCAGTGGGAATTGAGGTCAGCGGCTATTAATCATTTGTCAAAGTCTGCAGGGCTTTATCAGATAATTATAGTTATAAGTATGTTTATATCACAAAACATGTGGCAAAGCCTGAAAGGATTCAAGCCCTAACACAATGTGCACTGATATTTAGAAATACAGAAGATGATAAGTCATAAAGCAAGCACTTGAGAAAACCATGCCCTTCATTACTGGGCATTCCAGAATTATCTTCTATATTGTTTATTTCCATAAACATTTAGAGCTTTACGAAGCCTTAGACTACCTTCCCCCTTCCCCTCTAATTTTCCAATGAGTTGTAAAAATAGCAAGTATAATCATCATTTGAAAGATTGGTTATCAACTCCATCCATATAAACAGACTACTAGAAAGTAATCACAGCTTATTTTATAAAACCCATCTCTGAGTAAAAATATCTTGAGCCATTCTGAAGAATCTACATAAACACATTCATAGATGTGCGTAAGGGACATCTCTAAAGCCCACAAACCAAGAGAAGGCATTTGAAAATAAGACTTAAGGCTGTAAACAGCATCCATTTTCTTCCATTTGGCAGCAAGTTTACATGCTAGAAAATACTTCTCAATACGAGTGAACTGTGAAATTGTTTCCTCCTACCCAACACTCCTCTAAATTGTATTAGATTGTTAGCCACTTCTGCACCTTGTCAATGAGGCTGTCAGCGCGCCAAGAGGCAATGCAAGTGGACTGGAGGCCAGGGCCCCAGCATTTGAGGTGCTGCCTAATGTTAGTCAGTCTGATAGGAAAATACAGCCGGAAATATTATGCCCATGCCTAACAATGCAAGGGGCTTTGTTGGAAATCTAGGCAAGCAAGATATTATGGTCAGGTGAACCATGAGTATTTTAATTCCTAGATCGAAAACATTCAGGAAACGATTACCTTTATGCCTTGCCCAATGAGTGCAAGTGAATTCTTTTACTCAGAGGAAAACAATATATGAATATATGCAGTGTTTTAGCTATTTTCATCCCAGTCAACACTTCAAAACCCAAATTTACCTACTTTGTGGATTGCATACTACCTTTAACTTTAATAATAAACACAAAAAAACTACAAAGGTAATTACGGTGCAGAAGTAAAAACCTTTTCAGAATAAAATGTAAAGGAAAGACTTTGGGTGTATTGCTTGTTCTGTTACATTAATGAAACTAACTGAGAGTGGACTCTGTATGCATGTGGGAGAGAGTGATATAAACTCTCAGGTCCCTGGTAGTGCAGATATTTCACTGAAGCTGGTGTGGCATTTCACCCGGAAGGGCTCCACCTACTCTCCTCGCTGTGGACCTGCCTGTGCACATGCCCCAGCACCGTCACCTTTGCATTGCTGTGATCACAGCCACATGGAACCCAGGAACTCAGGCAGCCCTTGCTTTTCATCCTTATTCAAAGCCTCTGGAGGCTCACCTTTCAGATTAGGTGAGGTCAGGTGCTTGTTTATCCAAGAGGGTAGACTTACAGACTTCCCTTTTCATTTTAAAATAGTTTTTTCTTATTTATTATCAGCATCTTTTAACTTTAACATTTTGCATTTTAGAGACTAAGACATGAGATACTATTTGTAAGAAATATAATAAATACAAATCTTAAGAATCATAACTTTTAATTTTGTTAAATTATGTGTATTAAAATGGATTCAATTGATTCTATTTTATATGATGATCTATACTACCCCTCATAATTTTATCATCTTTCTTATTTATGGCCCAATAATGCCTTTCTGCCAGTTCTCCAAGCTGTTGAATGTATGAGCCAAGAGCCACACCATATAATTTTCAGGTTTCCTGCTGCAGAAAACTGGTGGATAACTTGTTGGCAAATGGGATTAATGACATTTTATTTTTTTCCTTTAGAATTTGGTTTTTAATTTTATTATGTAAAAATCTAAATTAATTTTTCCTAGACGAATGGACATTTAATTGGTTAAATAAACATACTATCTGTTTAATTAGTGAATTTTCTTATATTCTATCTTTGAGAAATGAATTTTAAATGTGGTATTTAAAGTCACATACTACCACATCTCAACATTAATTAATTCATCCAATATTATGAAGAATATTTTCTATATAGGGTTCTCTTCAACAGTAGGTCTGGTTTTTCTATGTAAGATCTATGAGTCTCATCAAAGTCCCAGAATCTCAAGCTGGAAAAGACTCTCGAGAGCATGTAACTCAAATCCTTTCTAGGACACATTAGGGTGCTCATGTAATTAGGTGAGGTTTGCATAGATTGAGAGGCTTGTCTAAGATTATTTATTGTGTTAGTGGCAGAATGAGGATGAGAATTAGGGACAGTTTCCCCTTTTATTGAAACAAAAGTTTCCACTTAAAAAATATATATAAAATTAATTTTTACAAAGAGGAAGGGAGAGGGATAGAGAGTTAGAGACATCAATGAGAGAGGAACATAGATCAGCTGCCTCCTGCACACCTGCTACTGGGGATGTGCCGGCAACCAAGGTACATGTGCTTGACGGGAATCGAACCTGGGACCCTTCAGTCTGCAATCCGACGCTCTATCCACTGAGCCAAGCCAGTTAGGGCAAATTTCCACTTTTAACATCTTATTATCACTATCATTTGTTCAGACTACAAATTCTGACTTTGTCACAATTTGGACCAAACCTTCAAAGTTTACTCATATATAGAAAAAGAGTTTGTTAGTCAAATCTAGATGAACTACATGATTACAAGGAACATATTCACATATCAAGAGATAACCGATTCTAACGATGTTAAAACACCTTTTATATATACTAAACCTACAAAATCACTTTTGAAACTACTATTATATTTATTTATGATAGTGACAGGTCAATTTAGAAGAGGTCACCAATAAAGAACATTTACTCTGCCCATGTCATGGATATTCTGGTCCCCATTAAAAGTGCTGTGAACTGCGTAGGTGGTCTCTTGGCTTTTACATGGCTTTGATTTGCTGTTCATTGCTGATTAGACCAGAAGTGGTTACTTGGTCCAAGCATAGTCAATCACGTTCTCCTCCCTGAAGTAGGAATTGGATTCAGGCATAGCTTGCCAGACTCAGCATGGATGTGTAATATGTAAACTTCAGAGCCGTCAGCCAGCCATGTGGCCGGAAGCAGAGAAAGCTGGTGCGCAGAGAGAAGAATGAAGGGGACCCTGGGAGCGAGTTTCAGGCTCTCCTAAGGCCTGGTTGCCCTTGCTCCCAGGATATAGCCTATATTCTTATTTAACAAATCCATGCTATCTATCTGTCTGTCTCTCTCTTTTAATATTAGCTAAGTTGTTTTTGATACATGTAACCGATGAGTCTAGTTCAGACACTCTGTAACAGAGGTCACACTCTGGAGCCAGAGCAATGATGCTGTCACTGGTGTGTGGCTCCTTCAATGGGACGAACCACAGTACAGGTGAAAGAGCTTGATAATGAGGTGCATGAGGATAATGAGATGCATTATAATAACTAAGACCTTGTGTGTGCAGCTCGAGATAGACTGATTTTTAATAAATTCCTAGTATACAATAAATAGTAATAAAGCAATACTGGTTTATACAGATAAACTACCTTATTTACTAGTAGCTATTTATTAGAAAGCCGTATGATACTACTTAAATTTCAAAACTGAAATTCAGATTTCCTTGTCCCTAATGAGCCTGAAATAATGAGATTTCTTTATATTGACAAATGACTCATATGCCAATGCCATTTTTAAAAAATGAAGTAATTTTGAGATTATGAAAATTTGAAATAAAAGAGAATAACTATTTATACTTGTATAAGCTATTTCAATAAATTTAAAGGTACCAAAACCATAAAAAAGATTTATGCTTAAAATGTACTAAATATCAAATACCTATTAAATTGAAGTATCTAAGCAAGTAGAATAACAATGACTAAATTAAAACTTAAAAGAGTTTGCCAGGAACTGTGCTAGTAACTTTTCACGTATTAATTCATTTGATCCTCCCCAAAACACAATGAGATTATAATGCCTGAATTTGAGTTTAATAACTTGCTCAGTGTCCCACAGCTAGGGACACTGTGCTATTGAAAACTAGGTAGGTTGTTAGTCAATACACCATAGTCTAGATAACAAAAGTAGACTGAATGAAGACTTTAAAAAAAACAAAAAACCTTGGAAAGTTCTTTGGCAGTTTTGAAAAACAATTTCATGAAGCCAAGAAAAATGCAGAATATAACTAATCTTTAAACAAGGAATTTATATTAGTGATGATTCTTACCGGGGGTTAGAAGGAGAAGGTGGATTCATTTCTTTCTGATAGTGCCGACCCTGGTTGACAGGCTGTAAGAGACAAACCATTTGTGAGTAAAAACTAATCAGTGTCATACTCCTGACATGTACTTTCATGGACACTCTCATTACTGTAATTTTCCTCCCAGAAACAATCTGCAAGAAGGGGCTGGCTTATTTTAAAGAAGAGTTGCAGGCTGTTTTGGAGATCAAGCTAATAACAAGGTGATGCATATGAGGAAACCGGTCATTTTAATGGCCAGTCAGTGTGCTAGATAGCAACCATGGTGCAATCTAAAGGTCATGGTGGATCCTCCTCCTTTCAGAATTTTGTGCTATTAACACTGGTTGAAATTTCCAGATACAGCGAAACCAAACAAGGTATCTTGTTGTATTAATGCTGCATCCCAAGTACAGGCAAGAGCCTGGGGCATATAGATTATATATATTTCTATTTCATTGTTAGTAAGTTTGCAAGGAGAACATCCGTTTTCATTAATGGAATTACACATGTAGATCTTGGGTTAAGGTTGTCATTTCCCGCAAGTGTATAATAAAACCTCAGGTATTAATCAGAGAGCTGAAAAATGTGAACTTTCAAGTTTTCCCTCCACAAGAAACCTTTAAGTTACTATTTCAAAACACAGATAAACCACCATATCCCATGCAAGCCTTAACTTGCCTCCATTGGAACTTGTTCTATAAAAGGAGAAAATTCTATTAGACCTGACACAAATTCCGTTTTTCAACATTAGCTCCAAATATTTTCCTATGTGACCATCATGTAATTATAATATGAAAATCATTTCTAATGTTTTCATTTCATGATGAGTTGAAATGTGGTAGACATTCTTGAATTGCACTCAGAGGGCTTCAGTTAGTTCCTTATCCAATGGGGCTGGTTAATGTTTGCTCCCCCATAATGTGACCCCACGGTGCTGACACCAACCAAGAAAAAGTGTGGCCAGGGTGCCTGAACATGGAGAGCACATATTGCTTATTTTAATAGATCATAAAATATTAATGACATGCATGGTGGGAATCCTTTGGAGTAAACGGTCTTCCTCTATAAATAATGTCTTGGAAGTGTTCCTTTAATTTAAATCGAACACCCTGTATGATGATCACACTCACTTAGCCTGCCTCTCTGTGATGTGTCATGAATGTAAATGTACTCAGATACTTTGGTAATTGAACCAATATCAATACATTACCATTTCAGTGATAAGAAACAACAGCTGGGAGACCAGTGGAAGGAAAAACATAAGACGTATTTGGTCTCACTAGAGAAATAAGACTTTTGGCAATTTGCAAGTGAAATTTAGTTCTAATGATTTAGGCTTTATTATTTCACAGCAGAAAAGGATTAGCACACAAAGTGCCAAACAGGTTCTCTAGACCAACTCACACTGGTGCCAAAATACTCGAAATAAAGTCTCATTGGTATTCTAGTACTTCAGCGGTATTAGGCCTCCTGTGAATGGAACTCTGCTATGACTTTAAGAAGAATTTCTATAACTCTCTAGGCATCACAGACCTGATTCAGCCAAATTTCTATGACTTAATTTCATACTATTGATTCTCATATTTACACTTGTCCCTATCCCTGTATTTCAATGCCTTCTCCCACCTCTGGGGAATAGAAATGGCTGCAGAATCTACTTTGTGACTCAGCTACATCTTAGCCCACATAGGCTTGCCTGCCCATGTTTGCTCATGATGTTTATATCAAACAGATCCAATGATACAAGGAATAAAAGGGAAAACAATTAATAAAAGGTTCACATTTACAATGATTTTTAAGTGTCAGAAAACAAAACAAAATAATAACCACTGGAAACTTTTAATAAGGATTACAGATATGAATAGATAGAAAGGTAAATAAAAATGTTCACTTAAAATAATTGTAGGCACTGTAATTTGTCTGAATACTGAATTCTTTAACTTAATTTGTACTTTTGAAACCTAATGACCAAGTTGTTACTCAAAAAATTTTATCCAAAAAGGAACTTAAATTTAATAATAGCATTTAGACTTACGCATGTAGCTGCTATAAAGGGACTTAAAAACCTCCCTGCTAATGACTCAGTGGGGGAAGGATGCAAGTGCCCTACAAAATGGGTGGCCCACTTCCCTTCCTCTGCACATCTTCTAATTTTATAATCCAACTCAGGGACAGAAAGGGATTATGGGAATGATGCAGATAAGGAGTTCCTTCAAGATATTGCTATTCCCATGACTTTTGCTTTGATACTTTGAAAGGGCAAAGCTTTCACTTGGGTGAGGTCTTTTGTCTTCTAGGCCCAAATCAGAATGCATGAGCATGTGCCCAGTGGTTTCTAAAGCTCTCTGACCATGGGTGAGGGGAGTGGGAGAATATAGTGGGTTGTATGAGCCAGATATTCCTATCCACAGGTGGAAATAGACGTGTTTCTATACATATGCAGCAGTAAACCTATTTCTACTATTTCTAGTAGGTAACATCGTTTGAAAGCACCAGTTAAAAAACTAAAATTGATTTTTTGATTTTGGAATTCAGCCATGTTTAGAGAATACTATAAGAAGAAGCCAAGGAATACCAACCGATACCTACCAGTAACTGTGACAATAATGCTAATGGTGGTAACTGATATTTATTGTTCACTTACTGTGTTCAATCCTTGACAGATATTATCTTATTGGATTCGCACAGTGATTCTATGAAATGGATAGGACAAACAATTCTATCTAACAGAAGAGGAAATCCAGCCACTGGATGTTAACCAAGGTCATGCTGGTCAGGACATAGTGGAACCATAACTGGAAACCAGGCCATCTATCGATAGTATCAGTTTACCCTCTAACCGCTAGAGTATGTACTTAATCCAGCTGGGGATCACCTGGTGTGGTGAATACCTAAGTTTTTAAATAACAAATATGACAAACTCAGTTCAGTTTACGTCAGGAAAAAAAGGGGTACATTTATTTGAAATGTATAAGACTACCTCTTTACCATAAATTCATTTGATTTCATTACTCTATATTTAACATTAAAAAAACTAAGTGTTGCTACATTGCTAAATTTGGGACAAATGCAAGATGTAATAGACAATACTTTGAGAATGAGGAAGGCTAATTTCATGCAGCTCAGTACTGTACTGACTCTAACACCAGTTATATCACCCTATAGTGCCATGATGTCCGCTCCTCTGAGTTATCTACAGCTTAGCTCAATCAACTATTTACCTTTTTAGTTCAGGATTAAAAGAAAACTCATTACACTTAAAGACGGCGGAGAAATTAATGAATCTGCAGGTCAGAACAAATTAAGACCTATTAGAGCCTGAAATGCCAATATATTAAGTATTATATATTGGACACAGAGCAGCCAGCAATCATCAGGTAAAAACTGATAATGCTGATGAGCAAAGAAATGGAACAGATCCTAGAAACTCAGGACCTCGTCCTTTTGGTGGCGCTGTTGCTATGCACTAGTGTCAGAAAACCACCGTCACAGAAAACTAACTACCACTAAGCACAAAAGAAGCTCTGCTTTTCCACGATCAAGCTGCTAGAAATTTGGGGGTGAGGGAGAGAAGTAAAGGCTAATTAAAAGAACAGGAGATAAGATAATTGTCATGTTAAAAGGTAAAGACAATATTTTCATGTTGTATGTAAGTCTTATGAAAATGGCAATCAAGTTGCAAGGTTAATCAAGACCATAAATAACGTGCCACCATATGCTTGTAATTTTATTAAGTGCGTTTTGCCTCGTGTTCCTCCAAATATGCTCTGCAATATGCCATTTGATGGACGCACGTGTTGAGTTTCTCTCTCTCACTCTCTCTCTCTCTCTCTCTCTCTCTCTCTCTCTCTCTCTCTCTCTCTCTCTCTCTTTCTCTCTCTCTTTCTCTTTTAAATAAGCTGAGGGCTAATGTACTTGGTTACAGGAATTCCTCTTAACTCGAAGGAATGGTGGCTTTGAGGGCCTTGCTTGCTTACAGGCTTGCATGCCTGTGAGGCATGCTTTTCCAGAATGTAGGTTAGAGATGGGAGAGAGAAATAATGAAATAATGAAATAATGAAAGAATTGATTTGTAAAGTTCTGAGGGGGTCAGTCTGGATTCTAATGATTAAGGTCATATTAAAGAACAATAGAACCTCTGCCCACCCTTACAGCCCTCAGTGGTTATAAAAAAGGGAAACATCCCAGAAATCTTTTATGATCGCCCAAGTGGCCCTTGGAGAAACGCAGCTCTGGGGAGCAGCAGTTATAGTTAGCCTGAGTGTCCTCTTTTAGGCACAGGACACATGCACCCCATGCTCTCATTCAATTTTCATCATGCCGAAACGAGGAAGGCTCTTTATTATTCCCATTTTATAGGCAACTGTGCCAGTAAATGAGCCAAGGTTGGCTGATGCAGTCTATATTTTGGCCATCACATAAACCTGTCTCCATTAATAACTATCATTTTTCTTAAAAAGAAACACACACACACACACACACACACACACACACACACACTCGAAATGGTTTTATGCATTGTCAATCAAAATCCCTCACCAAAATAAAATGCACTGAGAACTCCATTGTAACCAACTCCTAGTGCCCCTCCCACGCTTGCCTGGACCCAGCTTATGGCTAAATCTCATGAGGGCTACTCCTGACAGAAATCCTCCAAGATTGATTAGCTGTAGCTTGGTTTCCACAGAAGTTGTAGAGTATTGTTTTAGTTGAATTTAGTTCTAAGTTAGAAACTTTGAAAAATTTGTCTGTCAAAGGCCAGGGGATTCTCAGCAGGCTTGATTTATTTAGCACGAGAAGCCAACAAAAGCCAATCTGCTATGAGAAATATGGTTACATTTAAGTACTCTTTTAAATGACTAATTTATAACATCTAAACACCATTTAAACAGCACATATTACTCTGAACTGTACAGATGCTGGGGGAAGCTGAGGAATCAAAGCTTGTAGTAAACACAATAGACTTTGCTAAAGACCTCATTCTGGTTCCAGACTGCAATGTGTGTGAAGTCCTGAGATAAAGATGCTAAACTAAATGTGACCTGCCTAAATCTCCTTTTAAAATTATTGGCCATTAAGCCCTGTCCAGAGGGAGATTTCTCCTTTATGTGTATATATATATATATATAATACCCATTTATCAAATCTGGGATGTAAACTATTACCTGCCTCTTTAAGAATTTATTTAAGCAAAGAAAAGCTAATTTATTTTAAGATTTTGATAAAAACTACTATTTTAGAGTAAAAAATATTTTAATATTATTGATTGATTATTCAGCCAATGAGTAACAACCAGCCCAGGCTGAGTGTGACCTCATGCCAGGCTCTCTGCTCAGCACAGTCCTGCCTTCATGGAGCTTACAACCAGGTGTGGGGGATGCTGGCCACAAGGGTACCTGATGTGGTCAGTGCTATTGTTGAGCCTGAAGGCAACGGGAACCCAGAGAAGAGAGAGTTCTGTGCGTGGTGGCTGAGGGTCAGAAGAGTTCCGTGCGGCAGTGACACTTGACTTGGGCCACAAAGAGTGTTTAGGAGAAGAGGGGTGGACGGTCCCCAGGCAGAAGGAAGAGGCCTGAGCAATGGCATGATTGACATGACCTGGATGAAAGGCATGGCAGGCTGCACAGTGTAGCTAGAGCGTCGAGTAGTTAGTTCCGTGTATGTGGAGTGGGAAGTGGGTGGTGATGCTGAGACAAGTGAAAACTCATTTCAAGTCTGGTTCAAGGTAATGAAGAAACAAAGGTACAGCCACGAAGTTATCTTGTTAAAGGAGAGACTCCACCCTCAGTTCCATAGATTTACTGCTGTTCCTTTTCGAACTTGGAATTCCTTTCTCTTTATTTCTACATGGTGAATTTGCATGCATTCCTTTTAAAAACATTTAATTAATGAATTTATTTATTTATTTATTTTTGTTAATTCTCACTCGAGGATATTTTTTTCACTGATTTTTAGAGAGAGTAGAAAGGAGGAAGAGAGAGAGAGAGAGAGAGAGAGAGAGAGAGAGAGAGAGAGAGAGAGAGGAGGGAGAGAGAAGAGCGCAATATCGATGTGTGAGAGACAAATTGATTGGCTGTCTCCCGCCTTTGCCCTAAATGGGGCTGGGGATTGAACCTACAATCCAGGTACATGCCCTGGGTTGGGAATTGAACCCAAGAACCTTCAGTACATGGGTCCACACACTAACCAGTGAACAACACCAACCAGAGCTGCACTGGTTCTTGAACTCTGGTTTAACGACACTTTTTTTATGTGAAGCATCCCTGAAACCAACACGTAGAATGAATGTTCCCAGAACTTTATTCTGTCATCACTTGTTCCCAGAACTCTATTCTATCATCACTCACTACCCTGACTGACAGGACTCTGCTTCCCTGCAATTTGGTGAACATCTCAAGGCAGGTAAAGCTTTATTTGTATCCCCAGCATGTGGTACCACTCAAACAAAATGTGAAATGAATTGATGTGACACAGACAAGCTAGGCTGAAGTGAGAGTCACCATGGAGATATTCCTGGCTGAATATGGAGAAAGGAAGTTATGTCTCTCATGAGGAAGTTATGTCTCTCAATGAGGCCTATAGAAGGGCTGCAGAAGACTCTGGAGCTAAGTCTTGTGGGATAAACAGGTATAAAGTACAAGGATATGTGAGAGTGCATTTCCAGACTCACAACTGGGACTAAAGCTGGGAGTGAAAGGTGGTGAGCAGTGAGAGATGAGACGAGACGGGGGCAGGTGTTAGATCATCGGGGGCCCTGCAGGCCAAACTAGAGGCAATGGGGGGTTAGGAAAAGGCTTGATGCAGGGAGAAATAAAACAGATCTGGGCTTTAGAAAGATCACCAATGTGAATAATAATAATAAAAATTACCACTAGCATTAATTTATTAAGTGCTTATTATGCCTCAGATACAGTGCCAAGTGCTTTTTCAAGGTCATAGCTTGGATGTGAACCTTGGCAATACGTTTTCAGAGCAGATGCTCCCTCCTATCCCTCAGGCTATGCTGCTTGGACTGGAGATACAGAGGTACTGGGAGACTGTTGAAGGAATTTGCATAAAAAAATAAAGTGCCAAGGTTATGGTATAAGTAGGGAGGATCAGGAGGTAACAGGAAGAGGTGAGATTCAGGATTTGGAGACCAAGTGGATGTGGACCCCAAAGTAGGGGGAGGGGTCCTCCAAGTTTCTGGTCTGAGTGCCAGCCTGGATGGCAGCCATCACTGAGCTACAAGAGAAGCAGGATATTACTGAGATAAATAAAGTTATGAGTTCTTTTGTTCTTTTTCACGGTCCCTGTACAACTTCTAAAGGGAAAGGTATGAGCTCTCAGAAAGACCACAATAGTTCTTGTAAATTGCTATTTAAACTCTCTATGAGCAACAAGATGCAGTTCATTAAGAAATGTAATTTTCCATTTGGTGATAGTTCTGATATTGAACTTGATGCAGTAATAAATACATCTTATGAATACCAAAGGTAGGCTTTTCAATTATTTTCTCTATCTAAAATATTTCTATTTTTCATTTGGTCAAATAGAGGGGTTATTAAGTTCATTATCAATGATGTTGTTTTTGGCCAAATACTTTTAGAGAAGAATAGTTGTCATGCATGAGGATTTCAGTCCTTGCCAGACAGGACAGTGATGTTGAGAACAGTGTATCCAGGGCAATCGAGAGCTCAGCCTTTTCAGTCCATAAATAAGCATTCCTCAGCTTGCTCTTTGTAATGCTGGCCTCCAAGCTGCTTCAGACGGAAGGAGCTTGTTCAGGAGGCCACTGTTCCTTTTCTTTCTTTTGGTTTAAATAAAGCTGATGAATGTTTTATAAGAAAGTCAATGTTTCAATGCCATTGTAAATAGCATTGGCAAAAATCTGCAACTTACACTGATGCTTTTAGCGCTGGCTGCAAGGGTACTGTGAGTACCAACCAGCACACAGGGTATTTTTGCTGCATGGGTACTCTTTGGTACTAAGGCTGCTCCAGCCATTGTGCATGCTTGGACATTCAATTAATGAAAGCACAACTAAGGCAAGAGAAACCTGGAGGGTGGGCAAGGTGAGGAAAAAGAACACTAATGAAAATTGAACACCATCTCACTCTACGCCATCCCCGCCTCTCACCCCCACACATCCTTAGAGTCAATTTGAATTCCTCCTCCATGAAAACTTTTAAGTCCCTCCAGAGCAAGAATTCCACCTTCTGCTGGATATTGGTAGCACTCATTAGACAAGTGAGTCACATGGAGAAGTCTCTGGCTCACGGCGGCCAGGAGCTCAGACTCAGGAGTCATGCCACACTAGTTCTGAGTCTCTTTACTCAGGACCTCCATTTTCCCATCTGGAAATTGGCCTTCCCAGCGCTCACCACAGGGGACAGCAGTGAGGAGGAAGTTAGGTAACACCTGTCAGGCCTAGCGCCAGGGCCTCTGAGATTTCTAAGATCTACAAAGATGTTGGAAACTTGGAAAAAAGTTGGCTTTAAAATTCAAAAAGAAAATTGTAAAATTAATAAGTATTTAATGAAATACTTTATACAGACATTATCAATTGCCAACTACACTAGAACTCAATCTTTATATATTTTAATACATTATATAAATATGAATCCAAGTTACACAATTTTATATTTCCTTTCAAAAATTGTTGTTGGATAAAACGTTTACCGTTGGATTAAAGTGTATTTTACTACATTTGATCTGATGTTGAATGTGGCCTTATATGTAAATGTCCCTTGGACCTAGCTAGGTCTTAAAATGTCTCTAGGTGCTTGATAATTATAACTTTTATAGAAAATGATTTATTATTCTGCTTCACAATAGTTCTTGTGCTGAGCAGACTGTCTGTTGAAGCTTCAGCTTTGTAATTCCAATTAAGTCAGAAGGTCCTGCAGGACAGTATTGTGGGGAATGGACCTAGTCAGAACACGGGGCTCTGCTCTGGGGTCCAACACTGACCGGGTGGAAGGTGGGCCTATTTTACTTCACCTGAAAACCAGGAAGACTTTGAGCTGCTCCGAGACCTCTGCCGTCCTAGTGTGGATGCTGGCCCGTATTGAAGTGCTCCACCTGTGTGAGCAGATGGGCAACCAGGAGCCCCTGAAGCATCCGCAGGCCGATCATGCCCTCAAGCGCAGGGAAGAGTCAGTAAACATCTGTGGTTTCTACAGAAGGTTCTTTTCTGACTTTGCATCCTAGCAGTCCTTAGAATATTTATAGTCTCTTTCTATTTGTTCATTCATTGAACAAATATCAACCCTCCTGGGTGCCAGGGCTTGTACAAGGAGCTGGGAATGCAATGGGATATCTGGAATCTACAGCTAAATTATTCTTGTTTCTTTCAGTGTGTGGTTTTTATATATTAACACACAATTAGAATGCATTATTTGAGGCTAACTGAGACAATTTAGAAAAGTCATTGCCCCCACACCTGACAGACACTTTCTGAATGGGCTCTGAGTGTTGCTCATAGAGAGGGTACTTGTTGGGCCCTGGTTTTCCTAGGCAAGGTGGCTTTGTGAGGAAGGAGCTTGCTCCTTGTTAGGGCAATCAACAGACCAAAGCCCGGGACTTACAGGCGGCAGGCAGGAGTTCCAGGTGGTGGTGTCGTCACTGCTGGTACTGATGCTGACGTTACAGTTGTCCACCTGGGAGGCACTCAGGCCATGCGCAGCCCCCGTGTCCTCCAGATCATCATTCTGCTGCTGCCGTAGGCTTGCCAGCATTTGCAACTCAGATTCACTCATCTGGCTGGGCTGGTAGTTTCTCCAGTCATATTCCTGACCAAGAAGGGAAAAAGGTGACAGAGCAAAGGGTCATTTGGCCTTTCTTAATTTTATAGGCTATCATCAAGTGCTATAGCCTTACCGCTGCTATGGCTCCCCAGTGACAGAGGTCATGCCTTTATTGATGCCTACCTGCCTGACCTTGTCTTTTTGCTCCTGACATGTCAGCCACACTGTGCTTCACTAAGATTCTCTAAAGCACCAATGTCTGCATTACTGCCTGTTCCCATGCCAGTCGCTGGGCCACATCTGCTGTCTAACTCCAAGGTGTTTTTTAGCACCAAATTATGTTACTACCTTGAGGAGACCTTTTCTGACAACCACAAACTGGGTCAGCTCCTCCACTTTGTGGGCTCACACAGAAGCTTAAAGTGCTCATTTTTAGCATCTATCATAATTGCAGTTAGTAAGTGGTCTTGGCATTCACAGGTGGTCTATGAGCTCCACAAGACTGTCTTACTCCCACTATTCTGCCCATGTATGATGCTCAACCACTATTTGAGGACTGACTAAATAAACAAAAATTCAAAGCAGTTAAAAAAAGAAAAAGAAAAATCACTTCCCATAAAAATGCCCACTTTATGACATTGATGAATTTCATCCTTGTTTATCATGACCAAATACATTCAATTTACAGTAAGACTGAGCATGACTAATGCTGTCAAAAGTCATCAAATAAAATATGAACTTAAGATGGGAACATGTAAGTCTGAAAGCCAGAAAGACCTCACAGCTATAATAAACACTTTTACTGATATGGACATTACTATATTAGTGCATGAAATCTGTCAGGCACAATTCCCTCCACCCCCTCTAGAATAGTGCTACAAATATTTAGAGGCTAATGTAAATATTCTTTTACTGTACAGGGAAGAAACTGGCATAAGGAATTTTAAAAACCTTTCCTTTCTCTCTGGCCTAAACCAAATTTGATAAAAAAATGTTAATTTCAACATTGCTGCCAAAGCCAGTTTGGCTTAGTGGTAGAGCGTGGGTCTGCGGACTGAAAGGTCCCAGGTTCGATTCCAGGCAAGGGCATGTACATTGGTTGCGGGCACATCCCCGGTAGGGGGTGTGCAAGAGGCAGCTGGTCAATGTTTCTAGCTCTCTATCTCTCTCCCTTTCTCTCTGTTAAAAAGCAATAAAATATATTAAAAAAAAAAGAGTAGAAAAACTGACAAGAAGTGAATTCGTCTCAATTCCTTCCAATGATTACAGAGTGAAAATTGCTATACCTCTCAGTAAACTTTGAACTCTCAATCTGTAAAATGAGATGAAGTCTTTTCTTCATCAACAGGGTTGTTTTAGTATTAATAAGAGAAGACAAAGAACACTTTACAAATGGAAAAGATTAATTAAAAGATAAAATTAAATTAAAAAAACTTAAAATGCACATGAAATTCCTAAAATGTAGTGATAAAAGGATGTTATATTATTTCCTTAGGAGTTATCATAAAGTAAAAACACTGGGTACTACAGGAGTTTGAAATAATGGAATAAATAGAATGATAGTTTTCAGAGGATTCATAAATATATACATATATATTTATATATATATATTCACACACACACACACACATACACACACATATATGAATTCTAAACATATTTCAATATCTATGTGGTAATTATCTGGACTTAAGATCTAGTCATAAATATAATTTCAATTTTAACAAGGTCATTTCTCACTATTTTCAGTAGCTACCAATCTTTATGCATGATTCATTCTTACCATGAACAGGTACAGGCAGCTGGTCGATGTTTCTCTCTCATCGATGTTTCTAGCTCTTTATCTCTCTCCCTTCCTCTCTATAAAAAAACAAAAACAAAAAAACCCCCAACCAACCAACCAAACAAAAAAAAACACACACACAAAAAAACCAACACAAACATTGCTAAGTGTTAGTATCATATATGAATGAGCATTGTGATGTACACCCAGGCCATGCAATCTCTAACAGGAGAGTTCATGAGCACTTGATAGCTTTGAGAGTCTTGGGACAAAATAGACATCATGAAAAGATGAACAAAATTTATATTCCAATGAAAAGCACTAAAAAGAAAAAATAGGAAACTATAAATAGTTTAAATTAAAAAAAATTGGGGAGAAATAAACACAAGAAGAGATGCTTAACATCACTGTCATTAGTGAAATACAAATCAGCACCACAATGGATACCATTCAGACCCACTAGGATTGTTATAATACAAAAGACAGTGTTGGCGAGGACACAAAAAAACTGGGATCCCCATACACTGCTGTGGCAATGTAAGATCGTGCAGCCACATTGGAAAAACAGTTTGGTGGTTCCTCAAAACATTAAACCTGGGCTCATGGCCCAGCAATTCACTCCTAGCTATATATCCAAGAGAACTGAAAACATGTGTGCATATAAAAACTTGTAAATGAATGTTCATAGCAGCATTATTCATGGTAGCCACAAAGTGAAAACCCCACCATGTCATCAACTGATGAAGGGATGTTTGTTTAGCCATACAATGGAATATAATTTAGATATAAAAAATAAGGACGTACTGATAAACCTTGAAAACATTATACTAAGTTAATAGGTCCTAGAGTATATAAGTCCATTTACATGAAATGTCCAGACTGAGGAAATCCATAGAGACAGAAAGTAGATTTGTGGCTTGGGGGAGGAGAGGGAATGGAGGGTGACAGCTAATGGGTATGGGGTTTCTTTTTGGGGTGATGCTAATGTTCTGAAATTATGTTGTGGTGATGGTTCCAGAATTTTATGAATATACTAAAAATTCCTGAATTGTATGCTTTAAAAGGGTGAAGATTATGGCATATAAGTTATATTTCAGTAAAAGAGCAGTCAGTAATCACATGTGAATACAAGACCAGTCACTTGACTTTGGGCTCAACAGTGATCAAGTGAGTTGCTGTTCTTCTTCTGAAAGAAATGGAACTAAATGTTCTCATCTGTCAAATAGGTATTAATATGTGGTATAATTAACCCATCATTTAATTTATTTATTGACCCCACAACCTATACAGTGCCCGAAGTATACCCCACATGCTAGACTGAAAAAACAAGAGAGAATGGGGCAGTGGATAAGCCAGCCAGCTCCATTCTGGGCCCTAGTTTCACTATTTTCCAGTTGTACATGATGGGGCAAATTACCTAACTTGTGCCTACTTTCTTCACCTGCAAAATGGAACCATAGTATATACCTCATGGAGTTTTTGGTTCACAAAATGAAATACTGTATATCAAATGCTTAACACAGTATTTGACAAACTAAGGGTCTTCAAACTTATGATTTGTACTTTTATCAGAAAGTGTTTGAATATGTACTTTCCAATATGTAGGTATATATAAATTAAACATATGTACAACTATATTAAAATAGTATGTATAGTACAAAACATACATAAAATTGAAATTAAAATGGTTAGGCTTAAAAAAAGAAATGGAAATAGTTAAAACATTTTCTTCCTGAAGCCCAATGGATTGTTTCTGGCACATCATCTAGCGTGAGCACAATTCTCTTAGGAGACCACTGAGTTGGCAATCAATACATATGCTCCTGTTATTATTATTCTTTCCTCCCATTTTCTCTGTCCCCCTTTGTCCAGTCATTCATCCATCCTGTGCTATGCTGGGAGCTGGAGTATAAAAAAAAGTAAGACACACATCTGTCCTCATGAAGCTCAAGTCTAGAAAGGAAATGTACTCTGATCAACACTACAACAGCGACATGTCTAAGAAGCAGCACAGCCGGACTAAGTGCTCAGGAGATTCAGAGTCTCCCAGAAGTCAACAGTGGCATTTGAGAGTAATTCAATTTATTGACAAATGGAATGGTCAGCCTTCTAGGGAGTGAACTCTCTGTACCATCCACAGAGATGAAGCAGGGGCTGGGGAAATAATAGCTGGCTGCAATACTGCAGTAATCTGGCATGGTGAAAATGGCTTGACATGTTAATCCATTAATTTATTCCATAAATACTTACTGAGACCCTGTTATGTGCCAGGAACTGTTGGTGCTAAGTTTGCTTAGAATTCTCTATTTCTATGACTTTATGTCATACAGTAATAATGTATTCTGACAACACCTTGGAAGGGGCAGCCAAAATTGAGCTGAGCCAAAGAAGTGACTTTCTCCAGGTTCATGCATAGAGCAACTGGTGGCAGAGACAGGTAATTAACTTAGTCCCCTGATACATTCTTGATTTGCAATCTCTTAAACCATATCTAAATCACCAGAAAAGCTAAATTATTCACTTTTTAAAGAAAGGAGCGCAATAAAGTCTTCGCATTAAAGTGTACTTCAGCCACAAGACGTCATCTAACTAAATTATGCAACTGCTGAGAGGCAAAGGGCTTTATGAAATTCTCGCTCTGAAAGTCTCAAAATGCTGTGTATAATACAATTTCATCTCAAAATATCCTTGTAAGAAAGAGGGGAGACTTTGTTAATCAGATGTTTTAGGAACAAGGCAATAGGCACAGGGCTATATAAATCAGCTGTGTTCAGAGTCCACGCAAGCCCTTCCATCATGAAGCCATTCAAGCCTTTTGTTTCTAAAGACATTAGTAGGAGCCTAAGACAGTGAAGATGCAAACACAAGGAAGATGTGGCCCCTGCTCTCACAGGCCTTCCAATCTACTAGGACAAAGGTATCAAGAAATGTGCATAAAATAAGGACATATATCTGAAGTATAGTATTAATAATCAAACAGAACCCCGATAATGGTTAAAAGGAAAATAACTCCAGCAAAATCATAAAATACAACAAACAAAAATAACCTTTCAACTAGAGGCCCTTCGATCTCTCGACTAGCTTAATCAATCAAACATCGACCTACAGAGTTTTGTGAGCCTCAGATAGGAACTGTGGGAGACACAAGGCTAAGTTTCCAATGGTGGCATAGAGCCGAAATGAGACATAGCCATGGTTAATAGATCAGATGAAGAACCTCATTCTATCCGACAAGGATGGGAGTATAATAGAATTGGGAGAA